TTAATTTGGCTCTGATACTTAGTAACATGCTTTTTCTTTAATAAAATAAAGATTATAAAACTCATTTGGTTTCCTGAACAGTACACTTGTCATAGGGTCATCTGAGAGTGCTGCCTCGGCCTAGCTTACTTAGAGTCCTGTCAGTGGTGCAAGTTAAGTCTAAGGACTACAAAGCCCACTTGACCTTTTCATAATAATATCTGAGAGTACCAGGGTGTTCTTATGTGGGCAGACCTGTGAGAAGGAGTGTTGTAGCATGGCTGGCTGAATTGGACTCTTTCAGCCCATTTTAGCATGTGCAAACTCCTGATTGCTCTCTGTCCAAGCTTACACGTGTGTTTTCGAACCCGTGTTCGTCACACTCACTGGAAGGACAGATCCTGAAGCTGAGGCTCCAGTACTTTAGCCATCTCATGAGAAGAGAAGACTCCTTGGAAAAGACCTTGATGTTGGGAAAGTGTGAAGGCAAGAGGAGAAGGGGACGACAGAGGATGAGATGGTTGGACATTGTATTGTCATCGAAGCAACCAAGATGCATTTGACACAACTCCGGGAGGCAGGAGAAGATAGGAGGACCTGGCGTGCTCTGGTCCATGGGGTCACGAAGAGTCAGAAACGACTAAACGACAACGAATCTTCTCGTTGCTCCACAATGGTGAAGGGCGGGCTTTCACTTAACTGGGGCTTATTTCGGGGGTAGGGCTTATATTACGAGCATCGTGAAAAATCATACTAGGACTTATTTTCAGGTTAGGTCTTATTTTGGGGGAAACTAAGGTATTATTATTATCATCATCAGCTTTCAAATCATCTTTCTTTACAGTTTACTAAATGTGGCTACTTACATAAGTTGTTTTCTGTACATTTTCCTTAACTTCCAGTTTGCTTCCAGGGCTTGCAGAGATAGAATGTTCAACATCTCTGGAAGGAATGTCTGCTTATATGGGAGAAAGCAAATATCATATACTTTGCTTATTTTCATGGGTCTTTTTGATATTTAAAAGTCAAACATCTTCAGTGATATCTCAATATTGAGAAATAAACAGGGCAATCCAAGCCATTGGAAATTATCTCTATTCATTCTGAGAATTAACTACTGTGACAAGAAAATGTTTTTAAAATCTGAAACCTATCCTATCTTGAAAAGCCACCCTCTATAATAAATAAGTTCTACCGCATCTAAATGCAGCTGCATCATCCTACCTTTAACAACATCCAGATCAACAGCAGTGAGGTTCAAGGCTAAGATATCATTAACTATATCTGTTGTATCCATCTGCACTTGTTTGCATTCTGACTGATTCCCATGGCTGCATGCTATTTGCATGAGGTCCAGCTGAGTCTTCATTCTATACAGAAAATGGAAGATAAAAAGTATTATTCTATTACTTAATAATCCCATTAACAACTACAGAATTCTTCAGCAATTGTATGAGGATAAGAAAAATCGATAAACTAGTCCCTGAAAAATGCATAAGCTAGTTTGCAATCTCTTGCAAAAGTTGTGAAATCTGTGTCAAAATATTTATTCCTTCTCGTACCTGCCAGTAAAGGCTATTCCTGATAGTCCAGAAAGTGAGACCTTCAATGCTGGTTTCAATACTTTGATAAGCTCACAGAGGTGTGGCCCAAAATAATTTTGGTCTATAAATATCAAATCTAGCACCCTGAATGAGACCTAGAAACTAATAGATGGCAACTATATACAATACAGAATAAATGTAACTTGAGCCAACTCACTAGCTCCTGTAAGTGCTCCAATTAGCATGTCCTGTACCAGTTGCAGTTTCTGTACAACTTGCTTTTAAGTATGTCTGTGAGTTGAAGAATAACAAGAATAAAACTATCATTGTGTCCAAGTTGAATTTTGGCTACAGGTAAACTGACAAAGAGCTTTGAATATGTATGTTGGAAATGAAGGCTTAAACCAAAAATGCACAGGTGCTGCAATGCCATTTGCTGAATTTTTCTTTGTTAGTGTAGCCCTCAGCAGACATAGATCTAAAGTGCTTCTCGGCCACAAGAGTAGGAATTTGAGTGCATGGATGGGGCTGCAAAGGCAATTACCCCTTCCTGCTGTCTCTGGGATCATTTTCTCTCTCTCAAAGAAATCCAGCACTGGATCATTTATGCTAAATATATTATCTTACAGGAACAAAATATTAGTTGTGTTGAAAGACATGCATGAGCAAACAACATACATTGGTGCCTCGACTTACGAATGTCCCGACATACGACCACTTTGAGTTATGACCAGCTCCGGCTACAAAATTTTGCTTTGACTTGCAACCAGAGCTTCAAGTTACAATCAAAAACAGGCAGGGAAAAAAGGCAGGGAATTAAATTACTAACTGTTGGTGGCAAAGAAGCTGCTCCTTTGTAGCTCTTTCACCCCAACAGAGGAGGCTTCGGACTGCCTGGTAAGGTGCTGCTTTCTGCTTTTTAAAAACTGTTCCGGGTGAGGTTTGCAGCATGGTTTTGGGTGGCGGTTGGGGGTTACGTTTCTGTGCTGGGATGGATCTTGCAGTCTTTGTTTTGGGCTTTTCCCCCCACATTTGATGGGTCTTGCAGGGTTTGCTTGCTTTTGGAGTCCCCCCCCCCTTTCCAATGGGTCTTGCAGGGTTGGTTTCCTTTTTGGTTTTCTTTTCTTTTTTTGCATTTCTGATGGATCTTGCAGGGTTTGATTGCTTTTTGGTTTTCCTCTTTTTTTCATTTCCATAGGACCTTGCAGTGTCTGTTTGCTTTTTGCTCTGCTTTTTTTGCATTTCCGAAAGGTTTTGCACGGTTTTTTTGCTTTTCTTTCCCCCCTTTGGCTGGAACGGATTAATCGTGTTTCCAACGGGTCTTGCAGTGTTTTGCTTTTTTTGGGTGTGTGTGTGATTTTTTTCCTTAGGCCAGAACAGATTAATTGACAATCATAGAGACTGTATGTTTATATATCATCTATCACTGAATAATTTATTAATTGGTATAGATGGTGATTGTTGATAGTAAATACATATACATTTAAAATGCCAGAGAGCCGAGCCTTTAATACTAAAAAATAAACATGCGTCATTGCTAGGTGGCTTTTTTTTTTACTTTCAGATTACTTTTTAAAAATTTATTATTTTTAATAGCTTGGGGTAGGGTATGGGATACAAAAGGTAAGAGGGAGAAGGGATTGGGATTGTGGGGAAGAGGAGATACAAAAATATATTAACCTCCATTCTATTAACATTATCATCCAAAATTCCATTTCCGCTTTTCCACTCTTTTCTGCCTTTTAGCCTTAATCCACATTTTGTTCTATGTTATTCAAACATTATCTGGTGATTCTAACCATTTGTAAAATACATCCCATATTTCAGTTGCCTTTTGCAAAGTCCTTCATTGCTTCCGATAAGATGTCCAATTCTGCCGTTTCTCCTATCTTTTCTATAAGATCTTCTTGTTTTGGTACCATTGGACTTTTCCAGTTTTTAGCATATAAAATTCTAGCTGCAGTAACTATATATGTAGCTATGCCCTTCTTTGCTTTATCTATATTATCTGGTATCATAGACAATAAAAACAATTCTGGTGTTAATGGGACCTTACAAAGCAATATTTGTTGAAATACCAAATGCACTTCTTTCCAAAATTGTTTCACTGCTCTGCAGGTCCACCACATATGATAATAACTTCCCACATGTGCTTCACACTTCCAACAGAATTTGATACATCTGAATACATTTTGACAGTTTTTCTGGAATCATGTGCCATTTATAGAACATCTTGTATATATTCTCTTTAAAATTAACCAATTTTATAAACTTTATATTCTTTTGCCATATTTGTAACCATTGATCAATATCAATAGTATGACCTATGTTTTGTGCCCACTTAATCATACACTCTTTAACCATTTCATCTTGCATTTTAGTTTCTAATAGGTAGTTATACATTTTAATTACTTTATCTTTTGAACCTAGTAAGAGTTTATCAAATGTCATTTGTTCTAGATATATACCCTCTATTTTATCTTTTCCGAATCTAGATTTCAACTGTGCTCTGGACCACCTGTCTATGTGAGTTCTGTGTCTCTAACTCTTCTTTAGACCTTAGCGCATAGTCTTTTTTTTTTTTTTAAGTAAATCTTGATATCCTAAAAGTTTTTCTTTCGTCATAAGATTAGAGTGAGTATAAGCCTCTATAGGTGATACCCATACTGGGTTTTTTTATAAGTTTGTTGTATAATCTTTTTCCAAGTTCCCAGTAAAGCTCTTCTTATCATATGTGAATTAAAGTATTTTTGCTTCTTATCCTTTTTACACCATAAAAAGGCATGCCAGCCAAATTGCAAATCGTGTCCTTCCAAGTTAAGTAGCCTGTCATTTTCCAAAATTATCCACTCCCTTATCCAAACTAGCATACAAGATTGATAATACAATACCCAATCTGGAAGTCCAAGTCCCGCCCTCTGTTTTGTATCCTGCATTGCTTTTAATTTAATTCTTCTGTTTTTTTCTTGCCATACAACTCTTATGATTATCTTATTACGTTCTTGAAAACAGACTGTTTTAGTATTATAGGGATTGTCTGAAATAAAAATAAGATTTTGGCAGGACATTCATTTTGATCGTCCCAATTCTTCCCAACAATGATAGTTGTAATTTATCCCTTCTCTCCAAATTGTTCTGTATCTCCTTCATCAGTTTCATATAACTATCTTTGAATAGTGTACTCGTCTTCCTTCTATTTTGGGTCCCTAAATATCTAATTCCCTTTTCCTCTTGAAAATTTGTCTTCTCATCTAGCTCCTGCCATTCTTGCTCTTTCATGTTTTTAACAAGTATTTCTGTTTTCTTTTGATTTATTCTCATTCCTGCCATTTCTCCAAAGTTTTTCAGCGTCTCCATCAGGTCTTCTATTGAATCCAATGGGTCTTCCAGAATGATGACTAAATCATCTGAGAAAGCTTGGAGTTTGTATGTTTGACCTTTTATTTTCAGACCTTTTAGGTCCTTTTTATATCTAATTTGTTCGGTTAGTATTTCTAGAGTCAAGACAAATAGCAATGGTGAAAATGGACATCCCTGTCTAGTACCTTTCTGTATTTGTATTTCTTTTGATAGTTCTCCGTTAATTCTCACTTTTGCCTTTTGTTGAGTATAAATTGCTTTAACTAGTTTCATAAATCTTTCTCCAACTTGCAATGCTTCTAACTGGTACAACATGAAATTCAAATCAAGATTATCGATGGCTTTCTCCGCATCCAAAAATATCATCGCCATTTGTTTCTCTGGATGAGCTTCATAGTATTCTAAGGAATTTAGAATTATCCTTATATTATCCTTCATCTGTCTTTTGGGGAGGATCCCTGACTGGTCTTGATGTATTAACTGTGTTAGAATTCTTTTCAGTCTGGTTGCCAATATGGTCGCGTAAATTTTACAATCAACATTCAGCAGTGAAATCGGTCTATAATTTTGGATTTCTTTGCCTTCTGTGTTCTTTGTGTATAAGAGAAATTATCACTTCAGTCCATGTTGGTGGTAATTTTCCCTCTTCTTCCACACAATTGAAAAGTTTCTTAAATGGCTTAAGTAATACATCTTCTAATTCTTTATAGTACTGCACTGGCAGACCATCTGGACCTGGTGTTTTCCCAATTTTTTGTTTATTTATGGCTTCTGTAATTTCTGCATACATTGAAGATTTGTTTAAAAACTGGAGTTGTTCTTCAGTTAATTTCATTTTATTATGTTTCCCAATATATTTTTTCTGAGCTTCTTTTTCAGTTTCCTTTTTGTTGTATAACTTCTGACAGAAATCCTCTACAATCTTTTTTATTGCTTCCTGTTTGAATTTCTCCATCCCTGTTTCATCTTTTAATGTTTGTATTATTGTTTTTTTCCCTCTCTTTCCTTAATTTATATGCTAGCCATCTTCCTGGTTTATTTGTATTTTCAAAGTTTTGCTTAGCAAATTTAAGTTTCTTTGCAGTTTCTTTGGTAATATATTTATCTGGTGCTGTGTAGCTTTTATCCTCTCTTTCAATTCTATATTCCACGGGTTTTGTTTCAACTGCCTCTCATCTGCGGCTACTCTCCTTTCCAAGGTCTCATATTTTTTTTTGTCTTTCTCTTTTTTGCTTTGTTGTGAATCTTATGGCTATTCCGCTAAAAAAAATGCTTTGCTCAACTCCCATACCATGAGCACTGAGGTTTCTGGTCTTAAATTCTGTTTGAAGAAGAATTCCAATTCTTCCTTAGCTTGTTTCTTAAAATCTTCATTTTTCAGGTGTGCGATGTTAAGCTTCCAATTGAATTTTCTTGATTTCCAGCCTGATAGTACTGAAATTGGGTTGTGGTCTGCAAATATACTAGATAAGATATCTATTTCTTCCAATTCTTTCATTAAGCTTGTTGAGACCCATACTGCTAGGTGGCTTTAGATAAGTTCTGCATTCAACTAAAGCATATGATCATGTGCAACCAACATCATTATGTTTACAGATTTTTAAAGCACATACTACTAAAGGTGGCTACCATTTCATTAGCACAACTCACCATAACATACTTACCTTTGATTCAAGCTGCATGCGACCTGTGAATTATATAAAACAGAAAAACAACATGTTCAACCATTACTAATAAAAATCTGTTACTTACTAAAGTATTTTGCAGAAATCAGATTAATAGTTTACACTGATTATTTCAGTGTAAGACATGAAAGTAAATTTTAATATTTAGGATGGAAAATGTAACATACATTTTTATTTTTCAGAAAATCTGCATTTTCCCAATATATGTTCGTACAACAGAAGAAATTACATACAGCTAGAGACTTACATTTAATTCCCCCCCAAATACTTTATGCATCTCCTGCTGTGAATGGTAGAATAATATGCCAAACAGATTAGCGCAGAGAAAGCTTTTCAGATTTATTTCCTTGAGAATTCACCTGATGAACAGAATACTGCTGCTCTAAATGTCCTAGCTTTGACAGGTTTATTCATATTTGGCTACTTGATTGTGCTATTTTGACTAATGTTAGCCACTTTGGGCAGCTGTTTAGAGAAAAAGAGCTGAATAGACACCTCAATATAGATGGATAGACAGATCAGGGTACTATTTCAATGCCAGTTCTGTATCTATACTTTAGGCAGAACACGCTTAAAAGGACTGTCTTCTGCCATACGCTCCTGCCCACCTAGTGTTTTCAACATCAAAAACTTGCTATGCATAAAAAACACTGGCAGAAGCAGAATATACAGGGACACAAGCCAGGATCTTTTCTATTGTGTACCCATGTTATGAAGAGAATACAGATGTTGGTTACAGTATGTTAAGAACTTTCTCTTTAAAACTTCAGTTGTATTAAGAAAATGCTACGCCATTTTACAGAAAATTATATATAAAACGTCTATAAAGTCCTGTGGACTTCTTTGAGAGTAGTTGTGTCCCTTATACAGAAAGGTAATATATAAATTAAATTAACATTACACATAACTGTACATGCCCTTTTTCACAGAGACAAAAATGAAACTACCAAAAACGGCCAATATCCTGTTGCATTATAGCAGTGGTTCTTAACCTTTGTTACTCTGATGTTTTTGAACTGCAACTCCCAGAAACCCCAGCCAGCAGAGTTGGTGGTGAAGGCTTCTGGGAGTTGCAGTCCAAAACTCCTGAGTAACCCAAGGTTAAGAACCAGTGCATTATAGAATCAAGTGAGTACAATAAGATAAATGTTTCCCCTGTTCCAGCAAGCTCCCCTTTATGTACAGTGGGGTCTCTACTTAAGAACTTAATCCATATTGGAACGTGGTTCTCAAGTTGAAAAGTTCTTATGTTGAATCTGCATTTCCCATAGGAATGCACTGAAAACCATTTAATCTGTATCTGCTCTTTTCCGTCCATAGAAACTACAGTGGAACCTCTACTTAAGAACTTAATCCCTTTTGGAATGGTGTTCTTAAGTTGAAACGTTCTTAAGTTGAAGCAAAATTTCCCATAGGAATGGACTGAAAACCAATTAATCCGTTCTGGCTGTTTTTTTGTTATGTAGAGGTGCGTTCGTACACTGAAGCATTAGTTCCCATAGGAACTAATGCAAAGCTGGTTAATATGTACTCTACCACTAGGGGGAGAATTTTTTTTAACCTAAGATGACCTAAGGTTAAAAAAAGAGCAGGAAAGGTTTTTTTTTCCTGTTCTTATCTTGGATTTCTGTTCTCAAGTAGAAGCAAAATTTAGCAAATGGAGCTGTTCTTAAGTTGGATTGTTCTTAAGTAGAGACATTCTTAAGTAGAGACCCCACTGTATCCAGTTTTCCCTTGCTTGTGAGATTGGATGAATGACCAGTTGCCTGATCAGCCATACAAGGGGACAACCAGAGCACGCAATTGCATATACAAATGTTTTCATGCTCTGAATAGGCTATTGTCCTACATTTCATTATATTCAATACACAGAACAAATAACAGGGTCAGAATATAATAAGTCTCATAGAATAGGTTTTAATTGTTCAAGAATAAAGATTTTTTTAAAATCTTGTTTTCCAAGTCATTAATTTATATGATGAATAACTGAACAGAAATGTTTTCACCTCTAGAAAACGCTGCGGATTATATTCATTTAAAAGCTTCTCACAATCATTCAGAACATTTTCAATGGTTTTCTTGTGAACGTCTTTCATTCTGTTCCATATTAGTGACTCTTTCAGTTTCCTTTTCTTCTGGACTTCAACATCTTCAAGTAACTGTTTTTTCCTCACTTCCAAAGCATTATATACTTTATCAAACTCAATTTTAATAATTTCTTCTTCATTCAGCATTACCACCTGAAATGGTAGCATTAATGAACAATAACTATAGATCACAGCACTAACTTCATTAAAGTGCACAAACCTAGACATGTGCAACTGTAATGTGTGGAACACAGAAAAAAAGGATTCAAATGTAGCTACCAAATTACAAATTATGGTAGGCCACAGGGAATATGTAGCCTACTGTACTACAACTATACTAATCTTTAATCTCTTTGCTGCCCTAAAGAATAACACTGTAGATGGTTTTTTTAATCATGAAATTAACAGTGCAATCCTATGCCTGTTGTAATTGTAAACCAATTAAAATAAGTTCATTGGAGTGTGTGTGCACATGCACACACATATTTGTGTGCTGACAAGTCAATTCTGAATTCTGGTTATTATGTTCAGGGATTTCTAGGTAGACAATACTCAAAAGCAGTTAACCACTTCCTTCTTCTGGGGGCATCCGGGCACAATGCAGCTTGTGCAAGGCCATATAGGTTGGCTCTTCTCCTTGGAGGCACAGTGAGGGAACTGAATTCCCAACCTCTGGCTTTGCAGCCACAATAAATGCATCCAGAATTATAATCCAAAATAACATTCTCATCCCAAACATCATTCATCCCAGAATAACTCTGTTGTAGCAGGTCCTTATCAAATTTATACTTCTCTTTAGCATTATCTTTTCCAAGACATTTTTGAAACAAAACCTGTATCTAATTGTAAATAAACTAAAGAAAGTACAATTGAAATCATCACACATTTCTCCTTCTATTTCTATTTCCATTCCTATTTCCCTCCATTTCTATCCTGAATCTTTTTTTGAAACTGCAAACCCTGTCTGGTAGATACTAGTCAAACATGTTGTTTGTAATGAACCACAGACAGAGATAGTGACACATAATTAATAAGATACACCCCAGATTGAATGAATAATGGGAATGGAAAAAACAGTACTTTCACACATGAGCAGTAACAAATTTTATAAAGGGAACAACTCTCATATAATTCTGTTACAAAGGGAACTGGAATATTCTCCCGAGTTTTCTATAAATTTCTTTAATTTTGGCTTACCCCAGCACCGTTTGGTGAAACTGGTATTTCCTTTATCATATTCTCATATAAGTCTCTGATTTTCTTCAGATTGCTAAAGAAAGCAAGCTGTAAAAAGACGTTTATAAAAATGCTTAATATTCAGAAAACCGCAGAACCTCATATAATAGTGTCATCTTTAATTATGGCAAACCTCTTTTAAAAGATAAACATGGCTACTTAAAATGGGATTTAAACTTACTGAGTGTTAGTACTGTAGAAGCTTATCATTTTCCTGGGTATACTAAATGGTGAATTTACAGTCTGAGTAAGCAGAACCTTAAAGCTGACATTTTTAATTTAGGAGTGAATTTTCCTGTGTTGCCTTAGTATTTGTTAAAAGAAAATGACCTTTATCTAAAGCATGTTAATAATGTTTAGGTTACCAAGAAAACAATTTATTATAACAAACATGTAAGCCCCTCAGATTTCAAGTAAAGAGAGGTAAAAGAAAAAAAGAGAACTTATTCCTTATTTCAGTTCTGTTCTTTAGTTTGTCCCAATCTGACATAGTTAAAAATGTGACTCACTGAAATTAGAAAAGTGGTGAAGATTTTGGCTGAAACCTTTTGTTTGTTTTAGTGTTAGATGCATCCTGGCCTTTGCCTTCCAACAAAGTGTTGAATAGCCCCCAACTCTACTGGTTGTGTGATCATCAGCCATGAGGTTGAGGGGCTGTCAAGTATACCTCTAGGAAAACCAATTACTGTAGGTGTATTTAAAAACACAACACAAAGATAATATGACTGTGAATTTAAACCTAATGTGATTTGCTCATTATGTTGCCATTCATAATGTTTTCACAAAGTAACTTTACTGAAGTCAAAGTGTTCCCACCTCCTTCAAATGAAGTATCTACTGTGTTTGCTCAAAAACGCATTAGGGCTTATTTCCAGGCAATTTTTTTCATGTACAACAATCTATATTTATCCAAATACTGTACAGTCATGTCATCTTCTGGTTGCTGCACAATTGTGGAGGGTGGGGTTTCACTTAACTGGGGCTTATTTCTTGGAGTAGGGCTTATATTACAAGCATCCTGAAAAATCATACTAGGGCTTATTTCAGGTTATGTCTTATTTTTGGGGAAACTGTAAGAAAGCTTGGAGATCTTAACAAGCATTTCTGCTTTTTCTCACACAAAAAAGAATATATTTTGAGGTTATTGCCTTTACATGAATAAATGTTCAGCAACGTTAGCTTTCCTGCCATCTTGTCAATAAAAAATAGAATCAGTTAATGCAAGCCTGTGCTAAGCTAGGAAACCCTAAAGACCAACCTTCAAAATCCCTTTTACACAGTAAAAGCCCTACTACTTCCACCTCTTGCACTCAATCCCAGGACTCTCCACAGAATCAGCCAACACAAAAGCCTTGGTAACATCTCTCTTCCTTTAGAAAAAACTCCATTCAACTATATACAGTAGATTTAATTTAAAGATCATTCTACAGCAGGGGTGCAGAAATTTTTTACCTTCTTAATGTTTTGGACTTGAACCCCAGAGACCCCAGGGAAGCATGGCCAACCGCAGGGACAATGTGAGTTGGAGTCCAAAGCATCTGAAGAACCCAAAGTGCCTCCTCTTTTGTTCTGAAGTTTTTCAAATATGGCCAAAAGCCTGGTGCATGTGTGATGCTCACTAGTTTGCTCCTTTCCCTGGCAGATTTGAGAAAAGTTACTTTTTCCGTACTACAAGCCCTCCCAAAAACCCAGCCACCATAACAATGGACTATTCTGACCCTTGCAGTACAAAAAAGGTGCAAGCTTCCTGATCTCAGACCCTCCCCCGCCCCATCCTGCCTAAAGAGAAATGTTGAGCCTGAGGGTAACGGTTGCCGACGTTGGGCCTCCAAATGTTCTTGGACTTCAACTCCCAGAAATCCTGGCTAGCAGAGGTGGTAGTGAATGCTTCTGGGAGTTGTAGTCCAAGAACATCTGAAGGCCCAAGGTTGGGGACCACTGAAAGAGCGGAGGGGAGGCGCTGGGTCCCTCCCTCAGAGAGCAGCACTTGCTTTCTCCTCCTGGTACACGGTGTCGAAGAGGTTGACGGAGTGGAAGATGCCGTGGTGCTCCTCGGACACGCACTGCCCGCAGGCCCCGCGCAGGCACCTCCGGCAGTAGAGCTGCAGGGACCGCCCAGGGTGCTTCTTGCAGGGGACGCCCAGGACCGCCAGCTGAGGGGCGAGGGCCGACGAGGCTTCCTCCGGCGTCGCCTCCTGGCTCGCCTTGGCGGGCAAGGTGGCCTTGAACAACTTCACCACTTCGGCCCGGGGGGTGTTCCGCCCCTCCGTCCGAAGGAAGCGGGTTCAGCTTGCGACACAGGGGACACGACACTGTCACGGAGTCGCCGTGCCGCGGGGCGAGGCCCGAGGCCTGCCCGGTTTCCTGGGGGTGGTCATGAGCTCGTCGAGCCGGCCGTGAGGCGGCGGCAGCGGTGGCGGAGGGCGGCTCCACGGTGCCCTGGGCTTGACCGAGGTACTCGATCACGCAAGGCCGGCAGAAGTTGTGGGAACAGACCGGCAGCGTCACCGGCTCTTCGAAGAGCGACAGGCAAACGGCACAGGTCAGGCTCGCCTCCATGGGCGCATGCGTCGGGGGCGAGCGCGAGACGGTGCCAGACAAAACGCTCGGTAACGCTTAAGACGGCTGGACTTTTAAAAAACCAACGACCGCCGAGGAGACCAACTTCCTCCCAACTTCCATAACTCCATTCACAACTTCCGCCTGTAAACAACCAACCGCCTTCCTTTCCTGCTCGCTCCGGTAACTGCCACAAGCGCACCGCCTCCTCAAAGAGCCGAACAGCCAATCCGGAACAAGGAGCAGCCACGAGGCTCAAGACACTTAAACCACCCCTGCCCCTTTCCCAATGGTCAGTTTTTCAAGACTGGCGGCAACCTCTACCAATGAAAACAGAGGAGAGCTTCCGGCTAAAACGGCGGGTGGGAGCAACTTCATGCAACCGCTTTAACAGCATTTCTTTGAGGTTCTAGGAGAGCTTGTTCTTTTAGCCAGAAAAATAAAAAAATTAAGAAGACAAAAAATTGTGGCCTCTTAAAGAGTAACTGCTGTATTTTAATGTGAACTTTCGCGGACAAGTCTGAGGAAGTGTTCATGAAAGCTCAGGTTAAAATACAGCAGTATGTTTGTTTAAAATAATTTCATTCCACCTTTCTCCTAGAAAAAGGACCCAAGGCAGCATACATCATTAAAATACTACAGAGAGTAAATTATTGAAATATTAAAGAAACAATAATATCATTTAAAAAGTTAGGTAAAAGCATTAGGAAAAACAGATTTATCAGCAACAACATACAAACCATCTCCTTTATTGTCTCCTGCACAGTCCGTCACTATGGAAAGACCTGTACCTTTTGCCTGCTTGCGGAAGGACAGTAAAGATGGGGCCTGCCTGGCCTGCTGTGGGAGGGAGACCATCTCCTTTATTGTCTCCTGCACAGTCAGTCACTATGGAAAGACCTGTAACTGGTCTTTGCCAGCTTGTGGAAGGACAGCAAAGATGGGGCCTGCCTGGCCTGCTGTGGGAGGGAGTTCTAGAGTCTTGGAGCAGCAAGAGAGAAAGCCCTGTCCCCACCAAACACACTTGTGAGGGTGATGGGACTGAGAGAAAGGTCTTCCCCTGATGATCTTAACACTTGAGCAGACTCATAAAGGGAGACACCATGCTTGAGATAGCTTGGAATCATGCCATTTAGGGCTTTAAGGATTGGAACCAGCACTTTGAATTGTATCTGGAAATGGATAGGCACCCAGTGGAGATGCTGAAAGAGGAATAGGGCTTTATGGATTGGAACTAGCACTTTGAATTGTATCTGGAAATGGATAGGCACCCAGTGGAGCTGCTGTAAGAGGGAGGTTATGTGATCCCTGTGACCAGCCCCAGTTAACAATCTGGCTCCTAGAGTGGTTGTTTTAGAGGGAGGTTATGTGATCCCTGTGACCAGCCCCAGTTAACAATCTGGCTGCAGTGTTTTGTCTTTAATGTGCCACAAAGTTTTTGTATTCTTTATTATTATTTCTTTTTCTTTTTTTTGGTCTGACTTCTTTAGGAGTGGAGCTAGAACTATGCCCTATGAACTATGCAGCACTAGGAGATCTTGTTTCAGGACTACAGCTCCAAGAACCCAAATAAAGTTGCAATCCAACAAGTAACGTTTCCAGGGTTTTTCAGAGTCTGTAGGAGGTATGACAATGTCAGTGTTAAAACTTTATTGTGATGACTTACTTGTAATGCTGCACAGAATGGTATGACAATGTCAGTGTTAAAACTTTATTGTGATGACTTACTTGTCTGCACAGAAGTAAGCCCCATTGAATTCTGGGAGGCTTGCTCCTTAATAAGTGATTGCTGCCTCAGAATCTTTGTATGGGAGCCTTGGCTATGATACATTGCTCCTTGAATTGTTTACAGGTACTGTAAAGAAAGGTAAAGGAAGCTGTTTTACAAATGCTTGCTCCTTAATAAGTGATTGCTGCCTCGTTCATTCATTCATTCATTCTTTGTATGGGAACCTTGGCTATGATACATTGCTCCTTGAACATGGAATAGGCAGAGTTTCCATTTTTACATGAAAGGAAACGTTTGGTTTTGTTGTTTACAGGTACTGTAAAGAAAGGTAAAGGAAGCTGTTTTACAAATTTCTGGAGTCTGAATGCAGGATAACTGTGTGCAATTACTTATACAAATAGCTTGCAAATGTAATATGTTGGGTGAGATAAGGGTTTGTTGGTGTTTGCCTCTGTATTTGAATTTCAGAGGCAGGAAACTGGCTCCTTTTATCTTTTGCATGAACCTGTACACCGCCCAGAAAGTGTACTGCACTATGGAGCAATATATATATTAAACAAACAAACCTCCTTAGTCAATATTTTTGGAATATTGGGATATTCTTTTTTAAGCAAATGTGAAGGGTAGTGTAACCTGAAAAATTGGTTCAGCCCAAAGATGTGGTACCAAGAAAGAGCAGGGTTGTAAGAGTTTTGAATCAGAAAGAGCACGAGAGTTGAAGAAGCTGGAGCTGCTCTTGCCACTTAGATTGCTAAGACCCTTGCTAACTTGGTATAGATATAATTCCTATAAGTTTGTGTTGGAGGGGTGAATCCAAATAGTGAATTCATGTACAGTGGTGCCTCGACTTACAACCATAATCCATTCCAGAAGATGGACATAACTTGAAATGTTTGTTAAGTCGAAGCACCATTTCTCATAGGAATGCATGGGAACGCAATGAATCCGTTCCGGCAAAAAAACACCCCCAAAATAAAATAAAACACTGCAAGCCCCATAGGAATGTGCTGGGGCTGCAAAACAAAACAAAACAAAAAACCTCCAAAACAAATAAACAAAGACCCAAAAATAAACAGATCAAGCCCTGAAGGTGCTGGGGCTGCAAAAAACAAAACAAAACCCATAAATAAACATTGGAGCAAAAAAAAAATCACCACCAACAACAACACAGCACAGAAACATAACCCCTCCCAGCCCAAAACCACCATGCAAAACCACCCATACAGTTTTTAAAAAGCAAAAAGCAGCACCTCACCTTACCAGGCATTCCCACAGTTTTTAAAATGCAAAAAGCAGCACCTCCCCTTACCAGGCAGTCCCAAGCCTCCTCTGATCGCACTCACTCTAACTCAGTGATTGGGCAACACCCCCCCCATGGTGCATGGTGGCCGACGATGGGCCCCAGCTGGCGGTGTGGGGCAGCTGAGGCGGTGGCAGGGCTGTGGCAGGCGGCCGGAGCTCCCTGGCCAGGAGGAGCCTGTCCCTGCAGCGGCAGCTGAGGCGGTGGCAGGGCTGTGGCAAGCGGCTGGAGCTCCCTGGCCAGGAGGAGCCTGTTCCTGCAGCGCCTGGAGAGGTGTATTGTGGTGGAGGGGGACGCCTGGAGAGGTGGATTGTGGTGGAGGGGGGCGGGGGCAGCCATGACGGCGGCCCAGGCCAGGCTCAGCCTCCCAGTGCCGGTATGCCACTGCCCCATGCCCCATCCCCAATAGTTGGGTCTGGTGAGTTTCCTTAACACTTCCCTGCTCCCATCTTTCTCCACATAAATTTAGCACTACAGTACTGTACTGTGCTTTCTACAAATCACAGAAAGTTCCAAACCAATAATTTTCTCCACAGCATTTGCTTCCTCATTGTTGGAGCTTGAAAACGTTGCTTCTGAATGCTTAGCTGTCAGAATCTACCAGCTGACTTGGCCTTTGGCTCAAGGGTTCTGGGAGTTGTAATCCAGCAAGGTCATCCTCGAGACAGTCAGTGTCCTCAAAAACTGAAAATTTGGAAGGTGTTCACCTCAAACAAATGCATTCCTTTCCTTTTCACATTCTTTTAATCGGGTGCTGTCTTGTGGTAATTTTTTAAAGCAATTTCCAGCACAACTGTATTTCTTGTTGACAATCCTTGTTGACCTAAGTGAAAACCAATCTGGTATGGATTTCTATTTATTTCCTATCATCATAATTGATGGTTAGTGGGCACAGTTGGTCTGGCTTCTCAGCTGTATGGCTTGGGAGACCCTTCAGCATAGCTCTCAACCTCACTGAAGCATGCAAGCCTCTCGGCCTCAACAAGGCCTGTGCCCATGGAGAGGATTGTTGTTGTTGTAAAAGTACCCATCCGGGAAGAGTAAACAAAGAGTATTTTGCATCTCAATGGGATTGTCTGCACTGACATATAGATATAGTATATGGATAGTTGAGGGCACAGTTTGGCTAGGAAAAAACCCCCACATCCACTAGGCGGTTCTCAAGTCAAAAAGTCTGTAAGTCAAGTCTCCATTGACCTACAGTGCATTGAAAACCGATTAATCCCGTAACAGGCCGTTTTTGTTCCATTTTGGTTTTTTTCTGGTCTGTAAGTCAAATCTCAGTCTGCAAGTCAAACCTAAATTTTGTGGCCAGAGAAGTCTGTAACTCAAAAAGTCTGTAAGTCAAGCCGTCTGTAAGTCAAGGGTCCACTGTATAGATATAGTATATAGATAGTTGAGGGCACAGTTTGGCTAGGAAAAAACCCCCACATCCACTTGCTTATATTTAGATCAAGCCATCCTTCCCTTTTAAGAATGATCCATTGGGCACCAGCAGTCGTAAGACTGAATCCATGCAACATAGTGAGCTCCCGTTGCTTATCCCAGCTCCGGTCAGTCTAGCAGTTCAAAAGCATGCAAATGCAAGTAGATAAATAGGTACTACCACGGTGGGAAGGCAACAGCGTTCCGTGTCTAGTTGCGCTTGCCACGTGACCACGGAAACTGTTTATGGACAAATGCTGGCTCTACAGCTTGGAGACGGGGATGAGCACCACGCCCTAGAGTCAGACACGGCTGGACTAAATGTCAAGGGGAACCTTTACTTATCAGGCAGCTATGTGGCCCAGTGGTAAGGCAGCTTTTAGTTTGGCAGATGGAGTTTAGATAGCAGCAAGGCTGCAGCTGCAGATTCAGAGGGAGAGTTTAAACTGCAGGGAAATGTTTTGGAAAATGTAATTATACAACAAAGCGTGAGTGTTTATATGGGAAGGACTAGGGTGCAATATTTGCATAGTGAAGCATTCTGACCAATCAAACAGACAGATCTATATAGCAAGTGTTAGCAGTCTCTCAGATAGAAATGGCAGGGTTTGATAGGGCGGGAAATGTTTTGGAAAATGTAATTATACAACAAAGCGTGAGTGTTTATATGGGAAGGACTAGGGTGCAATATTTGCATAGTGAAGCATTCTGACCAATCAAACAGACAGATCTATATAGCAAGTGTCAGCAGTCTCTCAGATAGAAATGACAGGGTTTGATAGGGCAAATATGTAGTAGGATACAGTACAGCGTTTTAACCACTGCGCCACGAGGCTCAGTGATACGCTCTGTCAGATAGGTGCTAAAGATGATAGTTGATAGGGTCAAACATGTGATAGCTTTACGATGTTAAATGAGCTAGATTTGTTAGAGTAAATATGTCTGTCAAGTTTAAGAAAGATATACAAACATAACTATGTCAAGAACAATTCTATGTAACAAGTAGCAATATGTCTAAGCACCATGCTTTTATTCTATTCCACATATGTTTTAAACATTCAAAGTTATTCTATAGTTGATAGGGTCAAACATGTGATAGCTTTACGATGTTAAATGAGCTAGATTTGTTAGAGTAAATATGTCTGTCAAGTTTAAGAAAGATATACAAACATAACTATGTCAAGAACAATTCTATGTAACAAGTAGCAATATGTCTAAGCACCATGCTTTTATTCTATTCTACATATGTTTTAAACATTCAGAGTTATTCTATGTTTTTGACAAAGACTAAGTGATCATTTTATTTACTTCAGCTGCTGGGACAAACACACACAAGGGAGAATACCGTTTTTATTGTGTGTTTTTTTATCATGATGCTTGAAACTGCTGTGCCAAATCATGTCAGTTACATTTTGTATATTATTTTTCAGAATGAGGGAAGGGAAGCGAGGAGGGGGAAGGAAGAAAATTGAATTCTTTTGTTTTCTTTCTCTTTCTCACTCTTCCACCTTGCTGCTGCCTTTCATGATCCCTTGTGGTGCAGAAGACAGTGGTTGCTTGATCAGCTTGAGAAATCGTTCTTTCCCCTACCCACCCTGACTCACTTGTGTAGCTCACCCAAGCCCCACATAATACACATTCAGAGGCAATGAGCCTTTCTAACACTGCAGCCACCTTCCAATGAATCATGTTAAATCAATTGCATGCCCTAGCCTTCTGCCTGTTTGGTGAGGGACAGCTCTTAAAGGGGAGAATGGATGATTCTAAGTAGAAACACAAGTGGATGAGGTTATTTTCCTTCATGGCAAAGAGTGCCATCAAGGTGCCATATACAATAACTTTATGCCAATGTGGACAGGAGATAGTTGGTATCTTCAGTCTTATTGATTGAAATGCAAAGACTCTTAGGAATCTGTCATGAGGCATGTTGTGAAGTATCAGGAAAGCCTTTTAATTTTTGCTAGCAAGGAAAATCAGTACATAGACAGCAATGTGCAGTAAAGAATAATCAGAACAATCAAAGATACAGAAAGCACAGAAAGGGCCATAAATGAGTTGTTTAAATTGGTATTCCATTCAAGTTTTTTTCAAATGAATATGATCCAAAATAAAATTCTTTAGGCATCTGCTTGTTTTGCTAACATGATAAATTAGTTCCCCTAAGGAAGATGCCCAAGTTTATTGTTTTATGATAACTTTTGTTAGAGGGATGGTACATCTCTTTAAGTGTAGTACAGGATGGCTGAGTTTCCCATAATAGATTGGGCTTTGCAAGGCATAAGAAAATGCATTGGCAATTTCTGATACAATTACCATATTTTTCCATTTATAACATGCCCCCCCCCATTTATAAGAAACACCCCCCTTTTCTAACGCCCAAATTAAGAAAACTTACCTTTGAGGATTCAGCCTTTGGGCTCAGAACGTAAAATATTTTGAGTCTCTGTTGAATCTGAACCTACAGGCTCCACCTCCAATGAGATATGTTCCAATTGGTTTGTTCAGGATCAGCTGGCATCCATTCCATAAGGCTCGTGATTGGAAGAAGCTAAGTCTCCTGACTGTAGGAAGCTAAGCCTTATGACTGAAGGAAGCCTGTTTACAGAGGCAAGGTATGTGCTGTTTTGTTCTCTCCTCAGCTACCTTAGCTTACTTCCGTGTAAAAGACGCCTCTCAATTTTAGTGTAAAGATTTTAGGAAAAAGTAGCATCTTATACATGGAAAAGTATGGTATATAATTGCTATCCTGACATATATGATTATATACCATGAGGAGGGATTTCTTCAGTAATAGCTGCACAAACTCGAGAATAAACAGGTTCAGACCACTTCCAAATCAGGGCAGGGCAGGTTGGTCCCAAATATTTGGATACACATTGGATTAGAAGGTACTTGTGCTGTAGTTACCCCCATACCCACAGATTTGGTACCTGTGGTTTCACTTCTCTACAGTCTGAAAATATTAAAATTATTAAAGAAAAACCCAAGAAATACGGTTTTCCATGATGTAATTACCAAACCTGGCCACTAGAGGGAGCCAGAGACCATGCTTTGTATAGGGTTCACTATTATCCATGGTTTTCAGCATCCACAGGTTAGATTTGGAACCAATTTCCTGTGGATACCAGGGTTCTGCTATATACCTCTACTTTATACAGTATTTACAATTCATTGTTATAAGGTATAAAGTAGTTCCAGTGATGTGCGTGGAGTGATTGACAAGTGTGGAAAGATGGACTATGAATCTACTTATGAATTGGGACTTGATGTGAGAATGAAGAAGAACCATGGTTTGGAATAATTTGATTGGAGGGAGGTTGAAAGATACAATTGGGGCATGAGAGTTGGAGAGGGTAGTTAGGGAGAGATTCTTAAGAGAGATTGGGGCCATTTTGCTGAAGGAAAGTCATATCATAGAGCAAAAGGCTCAAGAATGAATGTGAGGAATAGTAAATGTATATAGTTCTATAGTGGATAATGTTTGACTTCATAGTGGTGATAAATTAGTTATTATATATATCATACTGTGAAAAATATCCTTTATTTCCCATTAAAAATCACAGCTATTGTGTGGTTACTAGCATTGGGACTGCATGAGTCCTAGACTGTCAAGTGAGTCAGAATGTATCTTACACACATTTCATGTTGAGAGTTGGACATGAGATTAGGTTAATCATAGTAGCCTTTAGAGAAGGGCCAGGGAAGGCAGAATAGCAGCTTCCCATTAGTTTCTATGGACGAAAAGAGCAGATACGGATTAAATGGTTTTCAATGCATTCCTATGGGAAATGCAGATTCGACTTAAGAACTTTTCGACCTGAGAACTGCCTTCCAATACGGATTAAGTTCGTAAGTCGAGACCCGACTGTATCATACTGTGAAAAATATTCTTTATTTCCCATTAAAAAATCACAGCTATTGTGTGGTTACTAGCATTGGGACTGCATGAGTCCTAGACTGTCAAGTGAGTCAGAATGTATCTTACACACATTTCATGTTGAGAGTTGGACATGAGATTAGGTTAATCATAGTAGCCTTTAGAGAAGGGCCAGGGAAAAGAATTGCCATTTTATAATTCTTAGGCTCCAATTCAGTCTAATTATCTGCGAGTATTGTATGTGCTGGCACTTAAATCTCTGTAAAAGCATAGTATTGTGCTGATACAAAACACTTTGGCTGAAGTCCTGTTGTGTGTTTATGCAAAGGGCATAACTTTTATACATAAATTGTTGAGAATTATGAAATTTCCATAGACATTATCTCTTGCATACTGAGTTGCATAATGTGGGAGTGCAACAGATAATGTTCGCAAAGATTTCTTAATTGATAGCAGTGCATGTCCAGAAATTGCACTACAGTGGAATTGTGCAACATGATTTCAGCTGTTGATAGTTGCCTACTTTCAAGTAAGCATGCTCACAGTTATGAGACAGGACACATAAAACACTTTTAAAAAAACTTTGGGTGACTATGAAATTAGAAGGATCTGAGCACTCTGCAGTGTGAAAATCTGGCTATTTGTTTACATTTATTTTAAAGTATAAGGCATTGGAGAGATCACACTGGCAAGTGTAGTAGATAAAGAAAAATCAGAACAGCTTAGATGTCTATTTTCTTTTCTCGAATCAGTCTGTAACTGTTTTGCCCTTCATGTCCAACGCTGTTTTCTTCTTTTTAATAATCTTCAACATCACCTTTACAGATGGCAAGTAAAGCTCGCTCATAATGGCCGGAAGAAAAATGCTACAAACAAATAAATAAGTGTTAAAACTATATATCTTTTTCTAAAAATTGTCGCCCTGCCTGAACACTGAATGACTTTTGGGGTGTCTGGTTGAAACTTTTGGAGCTTGGAGAGGACAGAACAATCAAGCTGAATGAAGTTTGAAGACTATCCTGGTTCTATTTTACTTGATAGAGCAATCTATGCTAAGGACAGTTTTTAATTCCTACTGCAGCCATTCTTTCCCAATTTAGCTCCTATTCGGCTAGGTTATATGACACAAAGGCAATAAGGAACTGCAACACATACAACAAAATGGCCACAACACCAGCTGTTCCCTGCTGTGCTAACTGTTCATCCTATTTATCTACTAATAGTCTGTCCAATGCATTTATTTCTCACTTTTCAGATATATACCCTGAGGAAGCAGATTATCAACAAAGAGATCACAGATAAAAACATAATTTTCCTAATGTAACATAGACATTGAGATCCTATGCTCTGGTCTATAGCTTGTATGCAGAGTCTGCTCTGAGGCCAAAGGGTATGACTACAATGAATTGTATCAACACCTGGGAAAACACCATGTGCAGTTGAAACGTTATAGTGTTTTGCCAAAAAAACAAATATTCCATTTCGAACATCTCTCTTAACTAATTGTTTGGCAAAAATATTCATGGTGCTTGTACAATTTTTATTTTCACAGTAATTTAGTTTTGTGGGGAATGTGGCTCTTTGGATAAATAATCTGAGATCTACTTTAGGGAATCCTTTGTATTCATATCATCTAACCTGAGATCCTGAATAAGATAAATAATTAAAAATGTTAAATAAAGGTCGGAGAGTTGTAGTTGATCTGGTTCTGAAGGGGAAGGCTAAGTTAACACATAGTTCAGCAATATTACTCTTTTGGGTTATAGCTATCTTAATCTCTGAGCCTACATGGCTACTATGTTGTATTTGACAAAATTAACCTTTCCAAGCACTGTGCTGAGAGTTGCCTTTTGAAATTGTACATCTAAAGGTTTTCATACTTCCTTGGATTACTCTTAGAAGATTTTGATGGGCATGGGTTTGGATAATGGTTGAATAGGTATTCTGTGGATTCACACTCCGCCCTTTCCAGCAGGTGCCTGCTCAGAGGTAGTGCCTAGAGGAGGTGGGGCATGGAAGCTGGGGCAATGATTCCAAGTGGGTGCCCGCTAGAGGGAGCAGGGCACCAAACTGCGGAACACCCGTTTGGCTGTCATCCAAACTGGCATGAACTGCTGAACTGTCAGTTTGTGCTCATCTCTAGTACAGTGGTGCCTTGCTTAATGATTGCCCCGCATTACGACGAACCCACTTAACAACAATCTTTTTGCGATCATAATTGTGATTGCAAAACGATAGTCTAAATGGGGGAATTTTGCTTAGCAATGATCGGTTCCCTGCTTCGGGAACCGATTTTCACTTTACGATGATCAAAAACAGCAGATCGTCGGGTTTTCAAAAGGGCCACCGGGTGCTTAAAATGGCTCCCTGCTGTGCTTAGGGATGTATCCCTCGCTATACAGGCAGCAAAAATGGCCCCCGTATGGAGGATCTTCGCTGGACAGTGAGTTTTTACCCCACTGGAACGCATTGAATGGGTTTCAATGCGTTTCAATGGGGTTTTTAATTTCGCTTTACGATGTTTTTGCTTAACGGCAATTTTTGTGGAACGAATTATCGTCGTTAAGTGAGGCACCACTGTACTGATTATGACCTAAGCTAAGGATTCTAGCCCTGGTCAGACTATCATAAATCTGGTCACCCCAGCACACAGGAGAGGAGCAGCATGATTTCAATCTGCCCCAGAAGTCAAACATGTAAATAGCTTACCTGTACGGCAAATCGATGTCAATGGAAAGCCTGCATTCATACAGTTGTATCCATATTAGTCTTTATGCCATTCATAATCCCACACTATTAGGGTTTTGAATCCCATGGAGTCTTGTGCTACATATACTTGTATTGACTATGCTTCCATCACCCAGATGTTTGTTCTGTATGTACAGGTGTCTGGGAGATGCCTGTGTTCTGAGTGCATTGTTGGGGTGGGGGGGAGAGTTACAATGCACAACCTGGTTCTTGCTCAAGAGTCAGGGAAATTGGTTTTATAAACTTCTAGCACTTTGAAAGAATGTGTTTAACATAATACAATTGGAGTAATATTTTATGCAGACATTATAAGTGAAGCTGTACTCTTTTGGAGTAGCAAAATTGCTTTCATGGTATGTGGCTTTTTTATTTCCTTCTTTATGGAACTAATGTCCTGCAACCATCAAGCCTGTTTTATTTCTCAGGGAGTTCAGGACAAAACTATACTGTAGTTGACTTTCAGTAAAAGGAAGCAGAGTACACTGTAAATCTCATCAGAGTTTCAATGAATCTTTCCAGCTTTATCTGTAACAGGTAGTAAATAACTGACAGGGAAAGGATTGAACTTTGTTTAAGATACAGGAAGTCCATGATTCTTTCAGCCTCCATGATTTACTTCTCCTTCTCTTGGGCCATGATCCTGTTGCATACCACTGAAGTGTAAAGTCCCAATAGAGCAGTGATACAATATCTCCCGTTTGCACAAGTGTTGTTGGTTTGCAAGTGGAGATCCCCATTGCAAATAACTGTCTGACACATGTGCATAGAGGTACTGTATATGTTCTTGCACAAGAAGGGAAAAATTCAAATTGCTTCATTTATGTTCACTGCCCAAGCAGTTTAATCAAACAGGATCCTGGCCTTGATATCTAACGATTTGTATAGGATTTTAAACTGATTATTGCCTGTTTTTAATGGCTAAATGATTACAGTTCACAACCTGCTATGAGATGGACATGTGCTGACTTACTCTGATATCATGGCACAGTGATTTCCCATATCTTGCTTTATACCGTTGTCTTATAGTCATCAGGTCTATTTCACTTCTAGCAACCAGAATCCTTATAACTGTTTTATTATGGAATCCTAGCTCCTGAAATGGAACAGAGATGTTTGATTGTTAGAGATTCCTATTTTTGCAATAGAACTGAAATCTGTTAACTGGAGATGGGGGTATTTGTATACAAATATGAATACCCTGCGCAGCTGGAGTCCACCGCCAGCCCTGGCCCCGCTCTTCCTTCCAATCACTCCGGAGCGTCTGGTCGGCTAGCCACTCCTGGCAGAAGGAGAAAAGACAAGTCTCCCTGCAAGGCTGACAAGTGGCTTGCTGACCAGGCGCTCTGGCACGATTGGAAGGAAGAGTGGGGCTGGTGGCGGCGGCAGATGCATGAATGGATGGTTCGGCCCCAGGAACCGGACCCTCATTAACTCCACCCGTGCGGGTGTATTCGTATATGAAGACCCCATCTCTAATGTTAACCTTTTTTACATTCAAGTAAATAAGAAAGAACAATTAAGCTATGAGAAGTGTCGATTGATATATAATTATTTTATATGAGGTATGATTTCTTATCAATTCACTGTGTACAGTAGGGGAGACATGCAGAAGAAGCAATGCTTTGAAACAAAATATAATTTATGTTTCCAAGCTGCCCTAATTACTTTGGGTGCATTCCCATTTTAGAAATTTTCAGTAACAGTGTTGTTCATCATGGTAGCTGTGACGACTAGCCCAGTTAAAACAAACCCAAGACTAAATGTGATCACAAAATTCACTGAATGAGTTTAGCAGATACTATTTCAGTAACAAGAGTGGCCTCAAAAAAAAAGGATAAGTCTCTTATGTATTTAAGGGATTTTTTAAAAAAGCAATTGTTGATTATTTGACAATTTGTGCTTACTCATGTTCCTTCTTTCACACTACTATTAAAAGTTCATGATCTCTGTCGCCTTTTGTGGAGGCATCCTATCAGAGGCTATATCCTAATTTTTCTATGACAATCAACAACACTCTACTGAGATGCAGTGGTTTCTCAGTCTAGACAAATTTGAGTTTATGGAACAATGGTGACATCTAGTGGACAAAAGTTTTGAACAGCAGTTCATTGGCGTGTATCTGTTTTTCCAAAGTGGCAAAAGGGACTTGTAATTTATGATGGAGCTTTTCATTTTCTAGGAAAGAGAAATAAACAGAGGATAGAAATAACTGTTTGCAAGTCTTGCAGTTCCTTATGAGGAGGAATACACTTCTTTTTTATATTTACTTATTTGATTTAAATCCTGCTTTGTACTAAGAACTGGGAGCCAAGGTGACTTAAAATATAATAAAAAATAAGTGTCATTGAAAAAATATGGTTTTTCCCCCCAGGAAATCTTTCAAGGTATATTAATTTGTTCATGTTATGTTGTTGTGAAAATTATATCTGACAGGCTAATTAGTGTTCATTTGTAAATTCTTATTAAAATGCTGAAGTCTAGCATTCATTTGCTAATTAGTGATTGCATGCACATAGAATGGCAGACCTGATGTCAATATGTTCCTAATACATGTCAGTAACTATACTTAAAGATTAGAAGAAGTTTTCAACCTCTGTGCTAGTAAACTCTACTCTCTTTTGTCCTCGAAGTACCATGTAGAAGTGTTCTTTATTTGTATTCTTGAAGGCTTTCACGGCCAGGATCTGATGGTTGTTGTGGGTTTTTCTGGGCTCTTTGGCCATGTTCTGAAGGTTGTTCTTCCTGATGTTTCACCAGTCTCTGTGGCTGTCATCTTCAGAGGAAGTTGCCTCTGAAGATGCCAGCCACAGAGACTGGCGAAACGTCAGGAAGAACAACCTTCAGAACACGGCCAAAGAGCCTGAAAAACCCACAACAACCCTATTCTGCATTTGCTGTTATTCTTCTGCCCTTCTGCCCTGTTCTGCTTCTCATAAATTGTAGTGTCATAGACTTGTTTGATGAATGTGATTCAGATATGTGCTCTACAATGACAAGTATTTATATAACAGAGCCACAGGATAACTTCTTCCTGTTGTTGTCTACTTCTTGTCCCAAATATACTTACAACTGTATCCCACTCTCAGTCCCAAATACAACAGATCCATTGAGTCAGTCAAAGTTACATAAGTGTTGAACTGTATAAGCATTATTAGATCATTCAAACATTCATTCAGTTGGTCAGCTGTAGTTGGAATTAACAACTAGTTTCATCCCTTGGAGTGTTCAGATGTTATTTTGATATCTAGCTGAAATATCTTATTAAGGCAAGGGAAAAGGGAGGCATTGGCTTTAAATTAAAAACATATGGAAATTCATTTGCAGCACTAAAAGAAATCTTTTAAAAAACAACCTTCTCTCCCCGCCCCATCTAATTTAGTGCATAGTTTGGGCATGTTTTTTGCCTCTTAGACAATGCTTCCTATTATTGCTGTGAGGTTGAAAGAGTGAATTATATATTATAATCCACCTACATCCCTCTCGAGAAGCCCCTGACCTATGAAACAGAAAAAGCTCAAACAAAAATAAATGAGCAAAAAACCCCAAGGGGTCAGAAGTGAATGTGGTTGGCAGGTAGATGTTTTACATGAATTCAACCTTTTCAATGCATCACTGTGCTCTGTTACCTGCAAGCAGTCCCTCCCACCCCAAACCTTGGCTCCTTTATAGGAAGGAAGTTAATAGTGATAGATCACAGTAAGGTAAGGTGGATGAGGGAATAAGGTTTTGCTTTGTAGCACAATGGTTAAACTGCAGTACTGCAGTTAAGATTCTGCTCACAACTTGAGTTTGATCCCGACAGGCTCAGATAGCCAGCTAGAGGTTGACTTAGCCTTCCTTCCTTCAGAGGTCTGTAAACTGAGTACTCAACTCACACAGAGGGACAGGGGGAGGCAATGTGTAGCTTGCACAATTAAATTGTAAAATGCCTAGAGAGTGTTTTAAGCTCCATGGTGTGGTATATAAGCAGCACACATTGCTGTTTTTCTCTTAAATACCTCTGCACTATATTAAAGCTTGCACACATACTTTTATTGAGTACAGTGGCCATTGTCCCTGGGGATTCTTAAAGTTGTAAATCAGAATTGTAGCTTTTCTGGTATATATGTGTACAAGGCAACCACATGAATACAAAAGATACAGGTTCCTAAATTCCAATTCCCATTTATTTCAAATGGGAAATAAACCATGCAGTTGCTCTGGGGGGGGGGAGGGGAGGGAGGCAGCTGTCCTTTATTGTTGGATTTCCTTCTAATGATCATCTACTGTGCTTTGGAGGTCAGCAGTTTGCCCGAACAAACTGCAGATTTGCTTGGGAAAGTGGTGCTTACTCATGGTAGAGCTGTTGATGGGAAGCACTCGAGTTTACTGCTTGAAATGATAAAACAAAAGCTCTCCCAGGCCCCTGGTCAGCCCCCAAGAGGTGGGAGAAGTTCTGTGGAGCATCTGTTCAGATGCTGCAAGGGACATGGGTTGGACCTTAAGTCCTTCTGTTATGAAGGACTTGTTTTCCAGCAAACTCTAAACCAATAAGTACTACTAAGCAGCCAATGAAATATCCAATATTTAGGTTTATTGGGGGCTGATACACTGTCCGCTCCCTGTCATGTTCGCAGTTATGAAAGAAAGTGAGATTATCTAGTATGAGAAGCAACTGAGAATGTCTGTGCCATTGTTTAATTTGCACATCATACATACCTTTTGCAAGATGGTACATAACTTGTAACTTCACATTTTGTACACCAGAAGGTGGGTGAATCTATTTAGAGCAGCACCTTTTCAATGAAATTGAAAAACATGTCTGCATATTAAAGCAGATATGCAGGTGTACTCACTGCTGCATCTTATCAGTGAATGGCAGATCACAATGGAACAGAATTTCTTGTGGTTCTAAGTAGTGATCATTGAACATTTCCAATGCATTCCTTCTTGTTCCCCAACTCCATGTTGCCCTATTTAAATAGCATAGCTGCTGAAACACAAAGTTGCCAGGAAATAAGTGTCTCAAATAAGCTTACTCCTGAGTAGACACAGTTACGACTTGCCTGTAAATAATGAAGTGGTTTGTATCCCAAACAGTTTGAAAAAATGGGGTGTTTTTTCATCTCTAAGAATCCTACATTAACTGAACTACTGAGGATTTATAATTGGTATGATTATAATAAAATCCTAAAGCTAGTAAGCAGCACTTTAAAAAAATTAAGATTATAACTTCTTGAACAGAAAACTGGGCTAACTTAAACCAAAATTAATAAAACTGCAATTTCAAATTGTGCAAATACTTACATGAATTGCATTGTAAAGTCTATAAGCAAAATAGGAAGCTTTGTCTCTAACACAGAGAACTGAGGAGGAAAATAAGACAAAGATGTTACAATCTTCAAAACCTTCTTGTCACAATTATAACTAATCAAATATTACATTGTAATAATTTAAAAATTAAACATTCTTGGGTACCGGCTTTAAAATGTTTTGTGCATCATTTTTCTATTTTGGTAAGCACTGAGTAGAGCTACAAGTTCCAAAGGCTTATGATAATTGTTTTTTGCTCTTTTTCTTTCTTGTTAAGTATGGTCACTGGCATAGTGAAGCTCAGGCCTCTAGGGTCAAAACCCTGAAACTTTCTGCACTGTCCTTCCCCCCCCCCTAATCTTAGATGCAGTCCTTACAGTAGTTGAGAGAGGAATAGATTTTTTCAAGAAACAGTACATTGTTGCAACCCATCCCCGTTGTAATGCTAAGTATTTGAGTGTGTGTTGGTCTTGAGTTCATTAAGATTCTTTAATTTTACAAAAGATCTTTCATTTGACAATATGGACCAATATGCACATTTATTTTACTCTTGGGAGGGGCACTCGCTGAGTGGACTGTCATGATGAGCAGTTGCTCTTCCATTACATCAGGGAGTATATTAGAATCGAAAGGGACTCTTCAGAAATTAATTGGGAATAATTCCATTGGAAGCAAGATGTGGCTAAGTCTAAAAGAAATCCAATAGTTGTTACTCAGCAGAATTCAGAATGCAAGATACAGAGAGAATAAGACAAAACATAGGGAAAAAATAATGATAACAGAAGAAATTTAATATTGACGAGGAAAATAATGTTAAAGATTTTCTTTGCTTTAGTTCAAACACCAATTGTAAAACAAATTTTTTCTGCCTTTGTTCAATCACCATTCAAAAGTGTTTGATGCAGCCTTCTGGTGTATTCACTCTTTTGTAAGTTTGGCTTACTCCTGTTGTGGCTTATTTAAACATAGTAAGTTGCAACTATGGTAGGCCCATTTGAATCAACTAACAGCCTCCATCACCAAAATCCTACTGGTTTAGTGGGCCTGCTCTAATGCAACTGACTATACTAAACAGCAGGTTTGGATGGTAATACAGTACTAGGAAAAGTTGAGAGCAGAAGGAAAAAAAGATCTAACATGAGGTGGATTGACACAATAAAGGAAGCCATGGCCTTGAGTCTGTATTACTTGAGCAGCACTATCAATGAGGTCATTAATTCATAGGGGTGCCATAAATCAGAAGTGACTTGATAGCACATAATAAAGTCATAAAATATTGCAGATATAAAGATTTTATTACCAATTGCTGTGAGTAGTTCCTGAAAGTATCCATCATAGCATCCATTAATGGCATCTACTATGTCTTGCCCAGATATATTCTGAAACTCCTGAAAAACTTTAAAACACACACAAAGATACAACACAATATCCAGTGATTAGAAAAACACTGATCTTGCCATCAAGGAGTATGCTTTGAAAACCATTACTGTTCAAACCAATATATATTAATTTTATTAATAATTAGATTATGTTTCAAGCCATGCTTAGAACAAATGGAGCCAGGGGCTCCAGTTTGAATCCCCACTGTGATTCCCAGGAAAGGGATCAAGTAAGATAACCTGGAGTGTCTGTAGCTAATGGGGTTACCTGCCCTGCCATTGTATGGCTTTGGGCAAGCTGAATGTTCCCAGAGAGCCACCAGAACAAAAGACTGGTCAGACACTGCTGAGCACTTCATATCTAGAAAAGCCTGGGGAGGGGGTTATTGGCTACCGCAGCACAGAATTATTATTACAGAGAACTGATCCAGTTAAAATGACAGCATGTCAAAATGATCAATTCTTGGAAGCAGCCGATACATGTGGGTAAAACTGGCTTCCAGTTCAATCATTTTGTATTAAGCTAAGTTTTTCCTCTTGTCTTTTGCCTCCATTGTCAATTGCACAAGAAGCTTTTCCCTTTTAGGCCAGGGGCACGCAATCTCTTCATATTATAAATTCAGGCATCATTTGTTTGATTACAGTCAAAGACCAGCATTAAACAAATATAATACAGGACTGAACATAAATGATAAGTTCAGGTAGTTAAGGGTCAATTAAGTTATGTAACTGTGTTACCCATCCACAACTGCTGGTAACTCTTGTTGCACAGAACCATCTGCAGCAAGTTTTTGTGTTCTCCAGTCTTCTGCTGGCATGCTTCCCACAGGACCTAGAGCATTGGAAGAATAATGTTCAAGGGACCACCACAGTGAGCAGCTTTTGAAAAAGGTATAGAACTTGCTGGTACCATGGCATCCTGCGCAGCCATAGCGGGATCTGCGTATCCTTCTTGTCTTGTTCCCTGGAAGACATGAATACATGAAACATAGTGAGGGTATGTAAGTGTCACTCCAGCGTATCACAGTCTTTGCCCTGGAAGCTGATCTATCTAACCCAGTAAATGTCAAAAGTGATCGTAGCTATTCTATTTCTGGGAACTGTACAATAAACATGCTCACAATAATTCATATTGCTCCACATTTTCCAAGGCTGGACTTGGCTTTCTACACATATGCATATCTTACACTTACCTTCTTCTAAATGGAATTAGGTCACATGCAGCCTTTGCATGTTGTCTTTCCTCCACATGATGCATGTTCTGTCACTACACGCAACCCCTCCACCCCAAGCTTGATATTATCTCATGTCATTGTGAGAGAAGAAGACACAGAAAGAGTTCCCCCATAGTGTTAAACCATGGTTCAGCAATCCTTGAGAGTGTATTCTTCCTTCTCTGTGGGTGATCACGGAACAAAGGGAAAGCTAATTGCCTTAGAGAGAGAACAAAGGAGTCAACAGCGAATTTCCTGCAGCCAGCGGAGCCTACTGGTAACGCCCTGAGGGTTCTTTTTATTAGCATGATTACATAGTATGTTATGAGAGAAACAGATAGGATGCTAGTTACCTTATCGTAGCTAGGATTGGATAAAATAACTCTTTGATCTTGTGGTCTACCTCTTACCAAAAGGGCAGAAGAAGGGGCCACCCTGCCTGCTGGCAGCTATGGCATCCTGCCAGGAGTGTATGCACGTCACCGAAACAGAATGCAGCTACAACCTTTCAGAGGAGTTCCCCCACACTTCTCTCCTCACACATTCCTAGTGCAAAACATAGTTTTGCCATGGCATCCAAAATGGAAGACCAAGATTAGGGCTTGTCATTCCAGAATTGGAAATCACTTTCAAACCAGGATTTCCGATTTAGGTTTCGTAGGCAAGTTCAAACCTTACTTAGCAGGCTCCCTGTAATAGAAAACTATAGTTTGTTGTGAACTAGGAAACCACACAGAGAAAAAAAATATGATACTGCCTCAGGTGTGAACTCAGCTGTTAACAGGAGCAAATGCTTAAACATTTATTTAAATAGAGCTTCATGCTGACATTTTGCTGCACACTTCAGAATTAGAATTATGCAGAAGGGGAGAGGCAATGGCAGACAAGTACAGAAGTAAATTTTCTTCACAAAAGCCCTGGATTGGGAGCTCTTCTTAATGACCTGTTAAGTGGAAGATCTTCTCTTTTTGAGCAGAAGGATTTGCTATGTGTTTCTACTCATGTTCAGCTGAGTGTGGTTAGAAGCCCTTACATGTCACAGCCCAACTACAAGGATCTTCTTTGGAGGAGAGTAAACATTTTTTCCTGAAGTGGAGACTACCTCTGAGGATCATAGATCCTCATGGAAGAGGGTTCTTCCCTCAGGGAAGTATCTCCTCCTGAAGACCCCTCCTTGGGAGGAGGGCCTTCCTTTTCAAGAATTCTTGTGCTCGGGTGCCTAAAATGAGTCCTGGATGGGGTTGATACCACTCAGCTACAAAAGCCTTAGTTTCTGGTTAAAGAGACTGCTGGTAAAAATGTTTGCACCTATTTCTTGTCAGTTAATCCTAAATATTCGGCTGTTACTTTGACTGTTCTCTTGAAGCCTCAATTGGCACTGCCTTTTACCCTGCCCTGGGAGTGCCCTTGCATAGCTTGCTTTACTTGTGGTTGATTTGAAACCTAGACTGTTTTTGACTCTGTCTCTGGCTTGCCTTCAACTGGCTTACCTACTCTCTGCTTAGGTAGATTTTCTGCTGTAGCTGCATGACCCTTGAATAGGAGAATATATAGTTTGGAATTTTGTTTTACTGCAAATCTTTTGTTGACTTTCTTGTTCAATAGTGGAAGGTCTTTGTAAGAATTTTAGGCAGAATCCTATTACTACAGTACCTCGGTTTATGAACACCTCAGTTAACGTAATTTTCAGCTTACGAACAAAAATCTATTGAAAATAATGCCTCGGTTTATCATTTTTTTCCTGCAGTACGAAGCAAGTTACCCCAATTTGCATTGTACCTGGAGGTTTATAGCACCGCCCCTATTCCCATGGCAAACAGCATTTTGGTTTATGAATTTTTCGCATTACGTAACATCCCGGAGAATGCATTAAATTCTTAAGCCGAGGTACGCCTGCATTTATATAACCCAATGTAAGTGAAATGGAATTCATCTCAGCACTGCCTTGCCACTAGATAAGGCACTGACACTTGTATTCTTCCCTGTGTACTAATTGTGTGACTTGCACACAACCAGGAATATACATCTATTCCTTAACTAATGGCAATTCACTGCTGATAGTTAAACTTTTTGATTTATGGTGGCATGGCCAGAGACATTCGGAGCAGGATTTGTGTGCACACCCTTGCCATCCTAAACAATTTTAACTCTCACAAGTGTAAGGCTAAGAAGTACAAAACATATGAAAGACTACTATACATACCTGAAAGAAGATGGAAGTTGAGTTTAAATTCAACAACTAACACAAGTGGTGTCTTCCTCCCAGCCATCTCCCAATCTATTGGGCTGAAAATTCAGCACCAGTCTTCCTATTATGTATCTCTTTCAAAATTAACATTCTCATTCTGGTCCACTTAAACAGCAAACCATCCTTGAATAATAATAAAATAGTTCAAATACTTGAGTGTTTAAAAAGAAACTGTTTGCACAGTACCTGAGCAAGGTTCATAAGTGTATCTCTGAAATGTCCAGAAGTCTCCGAGTAAATGTCTTGTAGAAGGTCACTATTATATTCTAGAAACAACACAGTAAAAGTATGAACATTTTCTAATGGGTCCATAGAACATTGAAGTGAATGTTCTACATTATAGTTGCTACTGGTCTCTATAAGAAATAATGATAATTACGCATTAGGTAGGCCTCCTTCATCTGGAAGATCTCCCCATTTGATCTTGAAGCTAATATATCTATTAGGCAGTTCTCGTCTGTGCCAACTCCCTATATTGGAGAAGAACAAAAGTTGGTGATATAAACAATGGTTTCAAATACAATTAATGCATTAATTTACAATAAATACAGCATGTTGGTTTCTGCAAGACATTATAGTAATAGCTTTTAAAATGTTGTGTGTCCTGGGAAATAGTGATTTTATTTCTTTTGCTTTCGAACTGCATTGGTTACCAAATATCAGACTGCCTCAGCCTATGACAATTTATCAGCATATTTAAATTTAAGCACACAACTAGTTCTTTTGATGAAGCAAGATGGAAAGGAAGACAAGCACAGAGCAGAATGTGCTATTATTAACTGCATTAGTACAATGCAGTAAAAAAAAACTGACATAGTGTTCATGGAATTAAAGGAAATTAACATGTTGAAACAGTAATCTATACATATTTATGTGATAGTTATCTCACTGAAATAAATGCTTCTGAGTAAATATGAGTAGGGTAAGGCAACATAATTTCTGATTGGTTAGGCATTCTACTAAAAATATCACATTTTCATCCACTTAGACTTAGTTTCATCACTGACAGTTGCACTGGACATATTTCTCTTATAACATTTGTGAAAGATTTATACAATCTGTAAAGAAACCAGCGTATCCTTGTACAGTAGTGCCTCGACTTACGAATGTCCCTACTTATGACAATTTCGAGTTATGACCAGCTCCGTCCGCAAAATTTTGATTGTACTTGCAACCGGAACTTCCACTTACGAACAGAAAAAGGCAGGGAAAAAAGGTGGGAAATTCAAATTGCTAAGTGGCAAAAGAGGTTGCTTCTTTGCAGCTCTTTTGCCCCAATGGTTAGAGTGAGTGCTATCGAGGAGGGACTGCCTGGCTTCTGCTTCTCAGTGAGCGTGTGTGTGTTTGCAGGGAGACTTGGGACTGCCTGTTAGGTAAGGTGCTGTTTTCTGCTTTTTGAAAACTGCTCTGGGTGTTTTTGCAGTGTAGTCTTGGGCTGGGGGGTTAAGTTTCTGTGCTGTGCTGGGTCTTGGGGGGTTTGTTTGTTTGTTTTTTGGGTTCCCCCATTTCTGATGGGTCTTGGGAGGTTGTTTGTTTTTTGGCTCCCCCTCATTTCCAATGGGTCTTGGGGAGTTTTGTTGCTTTTTGGGGTTCCCCCCAATTTCCGATGGGTCCTGCATGGTTCCCTTGCTTTTTCCTTTGTTTTCTTTGCATTTCCGACCTTGTCCCTTTGTTCTCTGTGCATTTCCAATCTCCTCCGTTTGTTTTCTGTGCATTTACGATGGTTCTTGCACACTTGATTGCTTTTATTTTTATTTTTTCCTTCAGCCAGAAGGGATTAATCACTTTTCCAATGAGTTTTGCAGTGATTTTTTTGGTGATTTTTTTCCTCAGCCGGAATGGATTAATGGGGTTTCAAAGTATTCCTATGGGAAATGGTGCTTTGACTTACGACCATTTTGAGTTACACCCATCTTCTGGAATGGATTATGGTTGTAAGTCTAAGCACCACTGTAGATCTGAAGTAGATCTCCTGGATATATGTCTAAATGGTTATTGTCATAAATGTTGCAAAATTTTAAAATATTATACAGTGGTGCCTCGCATAGCGATTGCTCCGTTTAGCGATGAAATCGCTTAGCGACACATTTTTTGCGATCGCAAAAGCGATAGCTTTGCAATGTTCCCTATGGGGGAAATTTTGCTTTGTGATGATTGGTTCCTTGCTTCGGGAACCGAGCATCGCAAAGCAATGATTTTTAATCAGCTGATCGGCGGTTTCTAAATGGCCACCGGGTAAACAAAATGGCCACCCACTGTTTTCTGGGATAGATTCCTCGCTTAAGAGGCACCAAAAATAGCTGCGCTATGGAGGATCTTCGCTGAACAGTGAGTTTTAAGCCCATAGGAATGCATTAATCAGGTTTTAATGCATTTCTATGGGCTTTTTTATTTCGCATTGCGATGTTTTCGTTCTGCAGCGATTTTTCTGGAACGAATTAACATCGCATGCGAGGCACCACTGTAATTGATATTACACTAAAGATGCTCAAAGATAATCAGTCTCTGCAGTATTTGGATATGTATTTACTCTTTTGGGTTCATTGCCTGAGTGCGTGCTCATTATGATTGATAGATTAATAAACATTTGAAAAAGTTATAAAATTAGCAGAAATTGGGATATGAACATAATCAAGTATACACATAATAGGCAGAACTTCTATATAGTGGCCATCAAATTAATGTTCAGAAACACCAGTTAGCATGGACATATTTTGAACAAGGGTTGTAAATCATTTAATTCTTGCATAATAAAATACAATATTTCTAAAGTTTTCTCTTCATTGGCTGAGATTACAAGAGCTTTTATGCTTTTTTTGTATTACACAACTTTTGGAGCTTAAAATTTGTTAACTTTTTTTTTGCAAATAACTTCCTTTGCACAGAAACCTTATATTTTGTATAGAACAAATTATAAAACTGAACAAAATACAATACATTTTTGCAAATTCATATTTAAAAATGTAAAAGACATGTTTTTGCATAGAAAAACATGGTGGATTTTTTCTTCTTCTGGTAAATGCTGTTGCCGATGGGTAAAAATGTGGATCTTCTTGCTTTTATGAAGGAATGAAAAACCCTGCAGGTTTTGTCCCTCTCCCCTTCTTTTCTTAACTGAATGTGTAAATGGGTAACTGTTATTACAGTTTTAAACATTGTTTATCTACTAGTTTTAATCTTATATCTGTTCAATTATTTTCTAGTACTGTAATAATTTTTTAAAAAAATACTCTTTACTTTAATATTGTAAGCTGACTTTGGTCCTCTTGAAGAGAAGACACAGTATACTGTACATACTTTGAATGGATGGATGAATTAATTAATGAATAAATCTGAATTAAAATTATGTTTGTTGTGGTTTTTTCAGGCTCTTTGGCCATGTTTGAAGATTGTTCTTCCTAACATTTCACCAGTTTCTGTGGCCGGGGGTGTTGTGTG